GTCAGTATATACATTAACAACAAGTTGGGACAGAAATATTGTAATATAATGAAAAAAAAATATGTAAGTGGTGTTCTGTGGCGCAGCAGGATTGTGTGCCCAATTTATTCTTTGCTCTTTGCATCACCATAAACGTAACTTTCTGAAGTATTAAAATCATTGACTTATTGCAGGTTTTTGAGATATGCATATTGCATTATGTACATTATCGATTTTTCAATAATTTTAATAACAGCCATAACTGATAGTTCAGTGGCATTGTTCAGCTCCTCCAGTGCTTTCCTGTGCTGGCATCTCAGCTGACCGCCACTTTGTGTCAGGATGCTTCGGGCAGTGCAGATTAAGGCATAAAGGATCAGAGCTTTTATGTGCAATGAGATACGTGCACATGAATGGTACTTTCTGTGAATATTGACTGTACAATTTAGTCTGTGTGTTTTGTGTGCTGTTAATGAGGAATGACTATAAAGCTTACTGAAAAACAATACTCATTTAGCCAGTTTATGAGGAGTCAGACTTCCGTGACAAAACTACATTTTCCATCATTATCTATGCATCATTCTTGTGCTGACACAGAGAAAGCATCAATTACACACATAATTTGCTCTTATTTGTGTTGCATTTGAACAAAAGAAAGCTTCCTGTCTTGCATAAAATACAAAAGAGAGACATAAACAAAACTGCTAACATAACCATTTTATTCAGACTAAATGACTAATCTGAACTAAAATAATTTGAATGCACATGTTTGTAATTATGACTTCCAAATGCACAAGTAGGAGACTTAAAGTTAAGAACTAAAACAATTTGTGAAGCTTGATTGGTTTGGTTTAGGGATGTAAATTTTCGATAATTTCCATGATCGATTGTCATTTAAATTAACGATCAATCAATCGATTAATCGTTAACCTTAATGCTGCAAAATGCATCATGACAGGATGTGCAAAAGCCACTCAAAAAAAAAACACTCACCCGAATTAAAGGGGTTTTAGTCTGAATAAAATGCTAGTAGCAGGATTGTAAAATTAATAGATGTGATTATGATCATTTGATAAAATGAAGAGAGCGCGCCGTACGTTTCCTATCCCGTCACGGAGACTGCTGAACGCACCTCTTTAAATTATTTAGTGGTGCTCGTTGTATTTTAAAACACAATTGCAATGTTTTCAACCGACATTATAGCATTTAAAATAAAATTATCCCAAACGTAACTGTGGCGCGTGTGGCTGTGCTGCGCAGTCAGTGAACTGCTTCCATCGGCGCTGCTGCAGCAAAACACACTGTTGCTCACATGAAACATTTTTATGTGAGCATTATGACCAGTACTTAATTTGATCCTGCTGGATCCTGTTCTGGAAAATCTCAGATTTTGAATTTTTCCGTTCCGGTAGTCCTATTTGTTTTTTAAAAACTGGCATTTACAGTGCATTAGATCTTGACAGTGCATGCATGCATTCAAGACGGAGCGAGTGAGGGTTTGGCTAGATGTATTTGGAGGTTATTGCTCACGTCACATTCGGCAAAAATCCAAATGTTTCCATATTCGCAATGTATTTGAATGTTAAACTATTATTTATGTAAACTTTACTTTACCTTGTTACTTTTAGCTTGTACTTTACCCGCATTTGCATATAGATGGAAAAGATCATCCTCTTCACATGAGCAAAAATGCCCTTGGCATAACAGCAGAGTGGACCGGTATACTATGGTCCATTTAAAATGACCAGTGTAACCTTTTATATGTTTGGTTGACTGTATTTTATTTTGATAATGAACAGACTGCGATGTAAGTTTGAATTGTTAGATTATGTGGGGGGGGGGTTTGCGCACGAAGCGCCGGCACGATCGAACAGATGAAACATTAAAAAAAACTAAATTTTTGGAGTAAGATATAATCCGCAAAAGTGTTTACTTTTATTTTTGCGCACACACAATAAAAACAGAAGATTTGTGCTTTTGTAAAATAAAGCAAACAAACAGAATGCGCGTTGTCATCCTTTCCTTTCCCTGAACTTGTTTATGGAGCGCCACACCACACTTCTGTTTTAAATCTGTTAGCTTAATTATTTAAGTCAGATATATTTCACTTTTTTTTTATTTATTTTTTATGAAAACAAATTGTTATTTTTATTTTAGGCCTATTACTTACATAGGCTATACATTTTCCTTAAAGCATCCCATTTTGTCCCAGGGCTTGAAAACCTGTGCCCTAGGTAGTTAGGTCCATGCAGAAACTTGTGAACGATGCTCGTAGTTGTGGCATCACCGTTTAGTGACATAATTGAATGCTCCGGGAAAACTGAAGTTGTATTGTCAGTGTCACAGTGCCTTTTAATTGCTCTACTGAATCCAGCAATGATTTATTTACAAATTATAAGCTCTAATTATTACAAGTGTGGTATTAAAGCTTTGTTTATTAGAGGAATAATTGTTTAGCTGGAAAATGTTACATCGCGACCATGCTTTTGGATGCTGTTCGAGCCCATATAGCCTACATTTACGCGGCTTTGTTCTGGTTTGCCGGTTGGTCACGAATTTCCACAAATTCAATAATATTTAGGCATTGTTTATT